GTATATGAATATAAAGGCAAAATTTGACTTCTTTATTAACAATCTGCATTAAAATTTTTCATAAAGCAGATACATAGGATAAAGTTATATCTCAAATTTGGTGGTGGTTGCTACTAAGGTTGCTTGCTGAAACTTCTTAGTGACTGTCGAATTAATATATACCTTGTCAAAACTCTGACGATCGACAAAATCCCCAAATGAGAAACTTTCTAATACTAATATTATTAATATTAATATTAATATATATTAATATTAATGTGTAACCTGTCGAAACTCTGTCATATTAATATATGACGTTTGATCTAAATATTTAATCCTGAAATCTTAACACGTGACAATATACAAAACAACTCATATTATTATTGTTGTTGTTATTAAAAAAATATCTTGATGAAAAAGTCCTCGATAAATCGGTCGAGCAAACAAACTAGCAATTTAATGAAAAAATTGGTTGCAGATTTCAACTAAAACGGTCAGAAATATAAGAACAAACGCTGCTAGCGAAAAAGTTTCAATATAAATAAATGAAATTAGTTAAAATGCATTGAAAGTAGAATGGAGAAATATCAAGGTAAGATGAGAACGATGGAAAGGTAGGTAATCTTTAAAATGAAATGAAATTTCTATTCATTATTAACTTGTTTACTTCTTTCTTTAAGAATTTCAAACAAATAAAATCGACTAAATGGGTTTCTTGTGTTCCTGAAACAAACCCACCATAAAGTACTTATTTAAAGATTCGGGTGTTTGTTGTACCAGCTGTCAAAACACGCGACGTCTCTCTATTTTGGGTAAACAGAAATTTCGTCATGACTTTCAACAGAAAATGCCATATATATAAAATATATGATTCTACACTTGCTCCTGCGCCAACACCTGCTCTGCCAAAAGCAATAATCCAGCAGCACCGTCAGCGCAAATAACAGCTAAATCAGTGGTGAAGGTTCCCACGTTTTAATTAGTGTCACGAATATCATACCCCTACCATCATCATTATTGCGATAATAATAGTAAATGGGTCCTGGTGGTGACAGCAACAACAACAAATTTTAAACACGACCCTGAAACTAAGCTAGACGCATGTGTAGCCATGACTACATTGAAATATTAGAATGGCAGT